TTCACCCCTGTGAGCGTTTCTGAAACCTCCAGAGAAAGGTGTGACGAGTGTAGCAAGTGATGAAAATAATAATGATGACAAGAGAGAACTGACAGAGAATAGGAGGGGAGCCCTCCCCCACTCAGTAACTTTAACAGAGGGAGGAAGGGTCCAGCTGTGTGAAGACAATGGACACTAATGAGGACATGGCCCCAGACCCCAGACTCATGGCTGTTGGATGTGCCCATTCTTGCCCACAGACATCGCTCTGTACGAGGCAGGCTGTCTAGAGACGTAGAATGGGGCGGGAGAGATCATAAGATCCCCAAATTGGAAACAATCCAAATGTCCATCAACTCATGATGGATAAACAAAATGTAATATATTCTTATAGCGGAATATTGCTGGGCCAGAGCAAGGAGCGGCTCATTGCTAAATGCTCCATGGATGAACATTGAGAACCTTATGCTGAATGGAAAGCAGCCAGCCCAGTCTCAAAAGACCACGTATCACCTGACCCCACTCGCACCAAAGTCCAGAGTCGGGAGATCTGTAGGGACAGAAAGTAAATCAGTGTTTGCTGGGGCTACGGGGGGATGGGGGGACAAGGTGTTGATGTATAAAGGGTGTGGGGGGCCTCCCTGCTGGCGCAAGGGGTAAAGCACCACACTGTGAAGCAATCCGCAGCCTCTGCAGCACGAGTTCGATCCTGGCCAGGGGGCTACCCACATGGCGCAGCAGACCTCTCCTGACTCACCCGCTGCTCCCCACAGCAGTGTATTTCAGTCAGTCTGCCTGTTCTGCTCCCCACTCTGTCTCTGGTGAATCCTCTCACCCCCCGCATCTCCGGCCTGTACCCCAGCTCTTGTATGCATAAATAAATAAATCTTAAAAAAAAAAAGAGTAGCGTTTCTTTTTGTGATGAAAATGTTCTAAAATGGACTGTGGTGATAGTTTCACTGATCTCTGAGTATACCTCCTCTGTTGAATTATACACTTGCATTCTGAATTGTGTGGTCTGTGAATTCTTTCTCAAGAATCTTGGTTTTTTGTGGTTGTTGTTAATGTTGTTGTTTTCCCAAAAAAAGGAGAAGAGGCTGTTGAGATAGAGCGGGAAGCTGGATCCGAAACAAAGGCCGGGCACTGGCTGGCTGTCCAGGCTCCTCCCCGCCCCAGCCCCAGCCCGCGTGCCCCAGGCGGTGGTATGGTCGCCCGCAACATGACTTGGAAGATAAACTGGCCCCAGGAGGTCTGGGGCTGGGTCCCTTCTCCCCTGACAGCTCCCTCTCTGTGTTTCTTCTGGCACAAGAAACATTCTGTCTTCTTGTGTAAATAGGGGAAATTTATGAGAGTTTCCCCCCTTCTCCCTGGTGGGCTACTCGGAAGGGGCTTGGGGGAGGAGGGAGATATAAATTCCTAAAGACCAGAGGGAGCCGAGGACCTTGGCCTGCCTGGGATCTGGCCCGGCTCCCCTTCCCGCTGCGTGTTTGACCATCTGGGTGAGGAGGCCCCGAGGAGGCATCTCCAAGGCAGAGAGGGCACAGGCGGGCACTGGCGGGACCCGGGGACGTGGCGTTGCTGTCCTCAAGCACCGTGGGAGCAGACACGGGCCTCCTGCCTGGTTGTGTTCATGCCTGCCCTGGTAGACAACTTGGCAGTGTCTCGCTCACAGCCCCCTCTCGCCAACCAGCAGCAAGGGCAGCTGGGAAATGGAATGTCCGGTTAGGTTCTCTGCCCTCATGCAACAAGGGAATAAGGAACTTTAGTCTTAATCCAGGTTCAAATCCACACCCTCTTCCTCTTCCCTCCCAGCAGCCTACTGGGTGGGAAGAGAGCTCCTTGGTTTCAGAAAGTTGACAGAAAAACAAAGTATGTAACCTTGAGTAAGTCTGAAGGGTTGGTGAGGGGGGCCCAATTAAAAAAACAACCAAACGGTCCTCAATTCCTCTCTTGCCTCAGTTATATTAAATGTATTAGGAGTTTTCAAACTTGTTTTAGTTGTGGGGTCCTTTATGTAGCAACCCAACATCACACATACACACGCGCGCTTGCACACACACATACACACAGACACAGACACACACACACACAGTAGAACTTTTTGGGTAGAAGTGCAGGTGGGGAGGGGACAAGCCCAGGGTCCTGTGGTGACCAGGGAAGGCCTCAGCCAAGCACAGGATGATCTCCAAGGTGCCCCCAGGCTCTGTCCTCAGGGCTTTGCCCCACGGTGAAGAGTTTAAGTTCTGCACATTCTTTGGGTTCAAATCCCAGCTCCACCACCTACTCTATGCTCACTGGCATACCACCCATGCCCTTGGAGCCTCAGTTTCTTCATTTTTCAACTGGAAAGATGGTGATACCTCGCTCAGGATGGTCACAAGGATTATATTCGATAATGTACTTAGAGTCCTTGGCATACGCTGACACTCAGCAAATGTTATTATAATTATTCCACGATGTAATACAATCCTGCCAGTGGATCTGATCTGACAAATGTAGTGTGAGAAGGTATATTAAGAAGGGTGAGGGACTCCTGGTGGTGTAGGGGTTAAGCCTCGGCGCTATCACACTATTACCACTGTGGTCTGAGTTTGATCCCCAGCCAGGGAGCTACCCACAGGCGCAGAAGACCTCTCCTGCTTCGCCCACTGCTCCCCTCGGCAGTGCATTTCAGTCAATCTGCCTGTTCTGCTCCCCACTCTGTCTCTGGTGAATCCTCTCTCCACCACCCCCCCCACACCTCCAGCCTACACCCCAGTTCTTGTATGCATAAATAAATAAAAATTTAAAAAAAAATCTAAAAAAAAAAAAAAAGGATGATGGCAAAACTTCTGTAACAAGAACATACAGAAAACAAGTTTATTTCTCACTCAACAGTCTGTAAGGTAACAGTGGCTCTGCCCCTCCTGAGCCGGTGGAGGATTTGGGGTCCTTTCATATTGCCCTCTCTGGGGAGTTCTCCTCAATGGCTGATTTCAGGGTAAAAGTCCAGTCTCAGACACTTCTGGTTCAGCTCATGCAAAGGAGAACACAAAGGAGAACTTGCCAGCGTCTTGCTCACAGCCCCCTCTCGCCAAAAAAAGCAGCTAGGGCAGCAAGGACAGCTGGGAAAAAAAGCAGCAAGGGCAGCTGGGAAATGGAGTGTCCGGTTAGGTTATTTGCCCTCATGCAACAAGGGAATAAGGAACTTTAGTCTTAATCCAGGTTCAAATCCACACCCTCTTCCTCTTCCCTCCCAGAAAACAATGTGAACCCCAATGAGGTCCCACCACCAAGCGGCCCCAGGAAGGCTGTGATCGGGGCTCCCACGCCCTGTGTCCCCCCGCTATCCACCTGCCACTCTCTCTCTGTCTCATCCCTGTCTCTAACTGGTTCCCGGTGACCAGGTCTGATCACAAGTGTGAGGGTGCAGGATGGCCTGACTAGGCATGGAAGGCAGAAAGGGGGTAGAGGTCATGTTTTGTGGGCAGCCAGGTATGGATTTTGGTGCGAGGCCAACCCAGCTACCAAATGTGTGACCTAAGTGGGGATTAAGTTCTCTGACTCTTGGATATAGGAATAACTCATAAGTTGCCGTGAGCATTAAATGGGCAACGAATATACATGGCACCTGCTGGGCCCTCCGTCAATGGTAACTGAACTTACACTGTGCCAGCAAGGGAAATTCCAGGCAAATCTGATTCATGTCCACAACCCTTGCAAGGTTCCACCTTCCTCTTTATCCTTGTCAGTGTATCATTCCTGCCTCTTCTTTACTTCCTGTCTTCATTCCCTTCCCATCTGAACCCTGAGTTATACTTTCCTCCTCCAGGAAGTCTTCCTGGATTGAAACAGTCACACTTGGCCTCTTCACACACCCTCTCCCAATTGTCCATGGTCCTGGCCCATCCTTGCCTTGACTTTACATGTTTCTCACCTCTTCCTTCAGAAAATGTGCAGCAACGGAAGGGAGTTAAGACCAGAGGTTAGTTTCTAACTTTCTGACTTTCCAGCTTTATGACTTTGGCGAGTCAAGTCATCACTTTGGATCTCTGTTTCCCCACCTCTGGAGTAAGGTCAGGTATGTGGGGCTGGTCTCTGCTCTACCCAATCTCCCCAACACAAACTCAGGGGACTAACTCTCTACCAAAAGGAGATATTGGATCAAGAAAATAATTCTTCCATCACAGCCCTGCCAAGGAAAAAGGAATGACTTCTCCTTGAAGGCTCTGGGCACTTGGAGGTGAGCACCAAGCCAAGAGCCAAGGGCAGAACTGGGGCGGCCCAGCTCCCAGGGTCGGGGTCTGGCTCTCACCCTGCCCTGACTGCACAAGCCCCAGTTATTAGGGCAGGTGGAGTTGGGGTGAGAGTGGAGCTGATCACAGTTCTAGAGCGCTTAACCCCTACCTAAGAGTTCCGGGCCCCGACCTCCAGCCTTCCCAGGGCGGAAAAGTGACAACAGTGATGACTAAAGCTTACAGCGGCTTGTGTTCAGCTGACACTATTCCAGGCACTGCACACATACTAACTCAGTCAAGCCTCACAGTAGCCTGGAGCGACTAGCCCTACTCACTCCGTCAGTGGGCAGCAGACTGAAGCTCAGAGCTGTTCCGCAACTTGCCAAGGGAACAGCTAGTGCGATGTAAGAGCAGCTAACGTCGACGGCACTGTCCACGTGTCCAGCGCTGTGGAGAGCAGACTACATGTGTTTGTCTAATCCCAGACAATGCCCAGAGACAGATACTGTTCCGGCCCCTACTTCACAAGTCGAGAAACTCGAGGCAGAGAGTGAAGCCATTTGCCTGAAGTCCTGCAGCTGGGAGCGTCGGAGCCCCAGGCCGCTCGGCCCCACCCCACCCTAGACACGCTGCCTTGGCCGAGCACTCTAACCCCGTGGCCACGGCCCTCCCATGACCCCTTTCACTTGGGTCCCTTTCCCTGTCCCCCATTGCTCCTCCCCAGGGTCCCCAAAGCTTCTGCCCCTTTCCCTCTGCTCCCCTCTGCCCTCCCCCACAGCCCCTGCAGAACCGCATGAATTTCGCCAGAAGAGACCATCAGCCTTCCCCACTCAGGCCCCCACAGCTCCTGATCGCACCACCCCAGGGGAGGCACCGCGGTGTCTACACCCGAGAGTCAGAAATATACCCCAATTCTGCTCCCCCGCCCCACTTCCCATCACTCATCAGGGAATCCAGGGAGAAGAAGGGAGCTAAAGAGCAGAGCGTTCATTTAATATTAACAAATTGAAATGAATTCTTTTAATGCCAATTAACTTGGAGCGGCCCCTTATTAATAGTAATTTAGATTCATACTTGGGAGAAGCAGGGACGGGGGCTGGGCTGCATGTGCCCGGAATGTCAATGTGACGCCGCCGCGGAGGACGAGGGAGCAGCAGTGGTGGCAGCTTGACTTCTGCTGACTTGGGTGCTGTTTCCCTCCGAGGAAGGACAAAGTCACAGGAGGTGAATCTTCAGAAAACTGATTACTCTCTTAGTTTGTCTTAGTACCTGCAAGGAATCTGAACAGGCTGGAGCCACAGCACACCATTTTGATGGTTCACTTCACAGTGATGCTATAAAGAATTTCCCCAGAGGCAGGATTTTACCCCCAATCTTTCCTACACCCAGCCTTACTGTCCAGCAGTCATCCAGCCCTCAAGTGAGCTCTCTCTTCCTTTGTGTCCATGCAAAGCCAGAATCAGATCCCGATGGGGTCTTCCAATCCTTGTCACCTTCACCCTATTCAAAATCAGAGAGGGCTGGGGGGAGCACTAATATGTCTCTCATCTGGGAAACCTCTCCCAGTAGGTAAGAAACCCAGTAACTTAATCCCGAGCTAAAGCTTACATTTAGGGGAGAAAAAAAAATCTGCTTGTATTTTTCTTAGAATTTATGAGAATCAAATGATGAGAATTAAAAATTCAACTTTGTGTAACAAAGAGTTGTCCAGAATAGAACCAAGTTGGAAAAGCTCCGTTCCAGACCAAAATGTCCAACAGAAATTCTGCTTTCCCTGATTTTGCTGGCGTGGAGGCTGGAGAGAGGGTGTCCCAGAATTAGAACCCCAAGTGCAGTCGCTGACTCAAGTATCCCACTCCTTGATGGGAGGGTGACTCAAAACTTGAAGCTGGGACTTGTGGAGGGGGGTGGGTCGGATTCTGAAATGGAGGAGGCAGAAGTGCAAAGGGAGTTGGGAAGGGGTAAGGAAATGTATAAAATGGTGACATTCAAAAAATAAAAACTTTTCAAACGGTTGAACACAAGATTAAGGAACAAGTCAGGTACTCCAGGTATTTAAAATACATAAAATGGAGGCACAGTACACAAAAATGAGGACAATGCATACATAAAACAAATAAATTGTTGAAGAGGTTGGAATGAATCAAAAGAGATCTTGCTCACACCCCCATAGAGTTTCCCAAACAATAAATTCATTTGCAAAACAAAAAGAGAGATCCACACAAAACTAAACCTCCATACAAGAAGGGAAATAAAATCGTGGCGGGTCCGCTGGAAATGAGTGAGAGAGGAGGGAAAATAAGGAAACTCTTGATCTGTGTAGTGGTTATTTGTAAATACTGGAAGTGGACAATGGGGTGAAGAAAGGGGTGAAATTGACATTAAGTGGAACTTGCAATAAGGGTGAAACTCACCCCCAAGGAAAAGTGAACTTACCACAAGCAGCAAGCTCCTCTCGCCATCAGGAATATAAAATGTACCCAAAAGTACTACTGATCCCCCAAGAAAAGTAAATCAATCGGAATTTAATCTGTCTCCAAATCTGAAATGGAATGATGCAGAATAATACAAAAGGACATTTTCCTTTCAACCAAGAGAAAATGGGATCTAAATCGAGGATAGGACTGGGACAGAAGGGGGATGTGGTTTGCAGGTGCCAGGAGGGATGGGGGAGAGGGGTTGGGGGGCGGGAGACGAGCTTACCTTGCTCTGGAGCCGCTGCTGCCAGACAGAAGTGGGCGCAGGTCCCAGCCTGGGTGTAGGGGGAAATGAGAAACGGGGGAGCCGAGCACCCCAGCATGAGTGAGGTGGGTGGAAGGGCTGGGGTACCGGTCTCCCCGCCTCGGCCCGCCTCCCTCCCTCCCGTGCCAGGCCAGGAGAGCCACTGAAAGTTACAAATTGCTGCCATTATTAGCTCATCCCGGGCGGCCTGGTCATTGGCCAGCCTGGGACCACGTGGGCCCTCGTACCAATCGATCGACTTTCTAGTTGCGATTCCCCGTCCCTCGGCGCCGGGCAGGGAGGGGGAGGGGCCACGAGGGGGTCTCTCCGTCCCCCCCGACCCGCTCCGCATTGTCGGGTCCCCGAGTGCCGCCCGGCATGAGGGCGTGTCGCGGGCTGGGGCGCGCGGGGAGGGCGCCGCCGGCGGGGACAGGCCGGTCGCCAGGGGCGCAGCGCCCCCCTCCAGCTTCCAGCCGCGCTGGCCCCGCTGACCCCTCTGGCCACTCCCTCCGGAGCCCCACTCCGCCCCGGCAGTCTCGGGACTGGCAGTCCGGCCTCGCCCCGGGAGCTTTGCGGTCCCCTCCCCGATCTCCGCTCAGCCCCCACTTCGCGGAGGGCGCCCCGAGGCCGCTTCCCCGGGGCTCTTTCTGGATCAGGCGCCTGCGCCCTCGGGGCGCCCCCCGCCTCCCCGCGCGCGGAGTTTGCGCTCCTGCTGGGACCTTTCGCCAGACAAACTTTTGAGCGGCTGAAAACCGAGGGGTCCCCTTCGGAGCAGGTGAGTCGGGCCTGGGGCGCGCGCGGCTTGAGCCTGGAAACACTGTCCCCCCCTGGCCGGCCTGTCTGGGCGCCCCCACGCCAGCCTCTCCCCGCGGGCGCGCCTCAACCTCCCGCCCGGGCAGGGGCTGGGGCTGGGCTGGGCTGGGCTGGGGCGGGGCGGTTGCCTGGCGCCCCCGCAGCTTTGCACCCCGGGGTTTGGGGGCCGTGGTGGCACCGGCCGAGGGCGAAGGGTGGCTCTGAACCTGCGGGAGCAGGAAACATCAGGTGCCGCAGAGCCAAAAAGTTTGAGGCGGTTACTTTTTTCTCCAAACACAACTTGGGGGAACTTCAGAAAGTTCTTGGAGGAAGACGGAGAGGAGCGCAGAGTTGGAGTTTGAGGTTCGCAGCGAGGGGGGGGCGCGCTGCCCCCCCCCCCCCTGGAGGGTGCGCGCGTGTCCCTGTCAGGACTGACTGTCGAGGCCGAAAACCCGGCCGGTTCGAACCTGCTCCCCAGCAAACCCCTAGAGGCGCTTGGAGATCCCCCAGGGGCTTCGGGGAAAGCACTGGCCCAAAGTACAGTTTGGGGGCGCACGGGCGCGGGTGGGGCGTCCACCCAGCTCCCCGGCACCCCTCCCCCTGTAGCCCAGGGACTTGCTGAGGGGTGACATGGAGGGAACAGCTCCCAAATATCTTCCTTTAAATCCTGTTTGACTCAGACCCATTTGCCTACAACGGAGTCAAGGGAGTGCCCCCCACCCCGCCCCCTGAACAACACCCCTACTTTCTCCAGCTCGGAAGGGGAGCGAGGAGAGAGCCCCTGTCCCGGGGCAGGGCTGAGAGCGCCTGAGGAGTCCCAGAGGAAGAGGGGAGAAGCTCGTCAAGTGGGAGTCAAGGGCAGAGGGTGGGTTCTGGGGGTGCTGCTGAACTCGGGGGGCCCCAGGTAGAGAGTGGGGCAGGCCCGGGCGGGTGCTGAGGCCGTTCTCGGGGGGCCTGCGGGTGGCCTGGGCCGAGGGGCTGCAGGTGCCCAGCTGGGGCTCGGGAGACCCCAGCCCCGCGGTGTCTCTGGGAGAGGCGCCCCGACAGGCACCCCAGAACGAGGGAGGCCCTGGGTGTCTGAAGCGGCGGGGAGGGACTGTGGACCCCAGGAGAGAGCATTCCCGCGACGAGCAAGTGGGGCCTGTGGCCCCCCACCAGGGCGCACCTCCAGAGGCCGCTTGACCCTGCGCTGCCCGCGTGGTGATGGCCCAGGCCGGGGTGTTCGCTGCGCCCGAGGTTTTTCTGCCGGGAACAGGCCGCGGCCCTGCGCTGGCTCCTGCCGGACTTGGGCCGCCCGGCCGGGGGTCAGTGGGCCTGGGCAGCACTGTCTGCAGGTGGGCTCCAGAGCCGGGTCTTTGGGGGGACGTGTCCAGGGGCCGATGTGAGGGTCGCGTGGCCCCTGCACACCCTCCCAAGAGCGCTGGATGGAATCCCAACCCCGAAATCAAGGAAGGAGCCCCCTGGAGCGTCATCTGGGGGCTTCCCAGGCTCGAAGAGAAGGCGCAGGTTCTGGGCCCTGGTGACTCCAGTTCTTTCGGCCCGGCCGCCCCCACCTGCCCACCCCACAATCTGGGGGCTTGTCTCTTTCGCTCTTTGCTCCTCTTCCTCTCTCTATTTTTCATTAGGATTGACGGAACGACCTCAGGCTGTAGTGGGGTGCTGTGGACCCAGCCCTGACTTCTCCACTAGGGGGAACAGCCCCATTCCTGGGCCCTTGAGATTGAACCCCACATTGAGGGAAGCCGAGAAAGAAGGGCTGAAGAACGCGGGGCCGGGCTGGACAGAGCCCGGCCGGGGAGGGGCGTTCTCGTGCCATATGCCTGTTGCACAGAGGCTCGAGACACAAAGGAGCAGAGAAAGGAGGTTGAGGAAACAGCACAAAGGGCTGGAAAATTTGAGAACAACAAAGAGAAAAGGCGGGGAGGGAAGAGCATCTGAGAAAGGGCTACCGCGGGGGACGGAGGACTCGGAGGGCCACGGGGAGAGGAGCACGGCGGGAATATTGAGAGAGGACAGCGCGGGACGGCAGCACTGGTTTGTTGCATGAGAGAAATAAAAAGCAGACAGGAGGGAAGAGAAACAGAGAGAGAAAGCAGACGACAGGGGAGGAGCCGAGAAAGTAAAAGGGAAAGAAAATAAAGAGAAGTAAAAACCCAAAAATAAGAGAAAGAAGAATGGACGTGGGACAGGAAGGTAGAAAAAAGGGGGGGATGAAGAAAAAGGGGGGCGATACAGCGAGGAAAGCCTGGAGGGGGGGGGCAGAGAGACAGCCGGGGAGAAGGAAGCAGGCACAGAAGGACAGCGCTGAAGGGGACAGGAGGACACGGACAGACACAAGCCGGTGCCCAGAAAGGGCTCCTGGTTTGGAGCAGCGCAGAGCAGGGGAGCGGAGAGGGTGGGCCCTGAGACACCCCGGGGTGCTGCTTGTGTCCAAGACATCTGGGCGCCGCACCCCATGTACCCCGTGCCTTGGAGTCTGACCCACCACAGCCGCTCCCCACCCCCAGCGCCTGGCCCGGGCGTGGGGGGCAGCTTGGACTGAGGAGGCACAGGCGAGGCTGCCTCCCGCGAGCGGCGTCTCTGCCAAGCAGCTGAGCGTGCTGGCCGCCCTCGGGCCGGGCCTTGAGGCCCTGCAGGTCCAATGCGGCCCCTCAGCACCGAAGCACAGCAAAGCCTAAAAGTGTATGTGCAGAACTGAGGCTGCTAGAGGGGAGGGTGGGCGGGAAGAAAGGGGGGGCGGCCCGGGGCATGTGGTGCGTGCGCAAAGACAGGGGTGCCCCGGCGGCAGGGGTGTGTGGTGTCGGGCCAGAGGAGATGGCTCGTGGGAAGGCACAGTGCTGTGAAGCAACATTAACTCAATAATAAAAATCAAATCTGGCCCAGAAACCAGGGCAGGGAGCAGAAGAGGCGGTTTAGAGACGGGCGGCCCGGGCCCTGGCCTGGAGGGCCTTCCCCCGGCCCAGCGCCCGGCCCAGAGAAGGAAGCCCGCTAGGCCGGGCCCTTGGCGGGGGCTGTCCGAGGCCGGGCGGCTTTGCTCTTCCGTGATGTGTTGGCTCCGTGACCTTGGACCTCAGTTTGGTCAAATACCGATGAGCCTCTCGCACCAGAGACTGTGCCTGTAGTTTTGGGCACTGCCTGAGTGAGCGCCGCCGAGCTGGGGCGGAGACCAGGCCTGGCCCACTCCGGAGAAAGCATCTTCATTTTCTCCCTGGATGGGAAGAAAAATCAGCATCTTTTGCCTTAAAACCAATTAGATGATGCCTTTACCCAAAGGGATGGGCTGGGGACCCTCAAACCACCAGCCAGAAAGCGTGTCCACAGTAACCCCTGCGGTTCCGTTGGGGGGCAGGTCAGCTGCCTGCTTCCCAGCCCCCAGCTGCTGTCCTGCATTGACTGTTCTTCTCCCCACCTCTCTGGCTTCCCCCTGCTCTTCCCTGTTCTGTTTTCTTTCTCTCTTGCCCTCCTCAACCAGTCTAAGCGGGGACTTGGACTGTTTCTGTACTCCAGAGGCTTTGCTCTGAGGCCCGTAGGCAAGCTGCGGCGCACCTGTGCTCGGGAGGCCACTCTCTGGACACGCATGGTGACTGAAGAGGAGGGGACCGAGCACGCGCCCCAGGTGCGGGGTGACTCTGCTCTTCTGTCCCAGGCATGACTGCTAGCAGCGAGTCCCCATGGTTAATCCCAGAAACTCCTTCGCCTCCTCACGCATCAGAAGGCCACAGTCTGCCCACCCCTCCCATGGGGTGGAGTCGCTGCCTCCCCCCGGCCCCAGATCATTGCTCTCCCAGGGTGAGTGAGGGCCGCAGGAGTTGACCTTTCTGCAGCGGGGGGTTAGGAGTGCAGTGGTGCCAGTGGTGCCAGGTCAGAGTCTCAAGCTGCTAAATAAGCCAAGTCGATTTCTCTATTCCCAGCTCACTTAGGGGGTCTCTGGATTTCCTGTGGGTGGAGAGGCCGCCAATTCTCGTTCTGGGCCATTTCTCCAGGCAATGCCCCTGACACCCGGGCTAGCCGGCCCCAATGTCATTCACAGCTCCTCAGCAAAGAAAGGGGGTCACTCACTGTCGGCCTTGGTGGAGGGAACACGGATGCTATGCCCTGAGCAGCTGGCTCGCCCCAGCCTGCCCTTCAGGGAAGGATCCAGAGTGCTTCGCAGGATCCGGAATCTCAGGCGGCAGAGCGACAGCTTTAGCTGCGCCCCGGAGCCTGCCTCTAGAAGCAGCGTCTGCCTCCAGGCTTTCCCGGCTGCCTGGGCCTCGGCCCTGTTCAGTTTGCTGTTGTGTTTTTCTCCCCCACTTGGGGTTTGGGGGTCAGGGAAGTGTAATGTTTCTCCCCATGGCCCTAATCCTTTCCTGTGCCCCCACCAAACCCTAAGGCCGCCCCCGCCGCTGATGATGAACTACAGTTTCCAGCCCTGGCCATGAGCTGCTCAGCAAATTCAGATTCTCTTCTGAGCAGGAGGAAGGGCGGACGCTCCCTCCTCAGTCCCCGCCTTGCTCATTGATCCATCGTGAGGGCATTTAGGGGTCAAAATTGAGACCAGATTGCTCCAAGTGGTATAAAATTAGCATTTCT